GCAAGAGGAGTTGGATGAATGAAATGTTTAATAGCATGGGGCTAAAATAGGAGTGGTATTGCTGATGGGCCGATAAATATTTTGTGGTCTCCAACCCCTACATTAAGCTTCATGCTAAAGGTAGTCTTGTCACTGAGCCTAAGAAATGCTCAAAAATCAGACAAGTAATTCTTCCTCTTCTCTGGAAATTGGATAGGAACTATTTATATCTGTCTCTTAGGAATCTTCATTTTTATGCTTTTGTGCCTCTAGCCCCTATTCTATGGAAACATGGAAATTTTGTTATTTATCAGAAAGTGTTGTATATTGATGTCATGCACAACATTTCTTTGGTTGTATTAAAACATTTAACCAGTTTATAATATTGTGTCTTTGTATATCTGCATTCTAATATGATCATATAGTTGAACCCTCAAAGAGAAATTTTTTTTCTCACACTTCCTAGTTCCTGGGTCAGGATGCATTTGGAGTATGTGTTTGGAAAACCTTATCTTATCACACTGTATCATCAACACAAATTACTTCTGAATCTCTAAAATGCCAACCAAATGGCTAATATTATTTTTATAAGAGCCTACAAAATTATGTGAATAATATATGTATACTATAAAAATTTTAAAAAAATAAAAATGACCCCAATTTTAACACACACTGTTATATTTGGTATATCTTTTCTGTAATGACATATGCATAATGATTGAAAATTTGGATTATGTTATAAACAAAGTTTTGTTTCTTTTAATTCACATTATTATGTGATGAACATTTTCTTATACAATTAAATTTTCTTTGAAGAACTGAGTTTAATCATAGTATTTCATTGTGAACTACCAATTAAATTTTTTCCTCCTTTCCCCCTCCTACAAAGAAAGAACACTTATTTGAAGAGATTGATTTAAATTGATTTAGTACATAATAGAATCCTGAGCTACAGAACAGGCTGGAAGATGAAGAAGGAAATCTGCTATTCACACTGTGGGGGAGTTTGAGCAGAGAGGTACCTTAGCAGATGTGGCAAATAGGAGAGGAAAGGTTGATGTAGACTATACTCTTTGGCTTCCTTTAATACCCTTGAAAGATGTGAACAAATAGTATAATTTCTTCTTAATTAGTTTGTTCTTGAATTTATCATTGTTCTAAGACTGAACCTCATCTAGGTTTCAACAAGGGTTAAGTACATAATCCTGCTGAGTTTTCTCTTTGTGCATTAATTTTTGAGTTTCTCTGATTATTTCTTTTAACTAGCTCATAAATATTGTTCTTGATACAGATTGCTCTCCAGAAAGCTTGACCAATTTATATTCCCACCAACAGTGTAAGGTATCCATTAAAATAATAATGATTATTTTAAAGTGTTTGTTCTTCAACAGGTCTATGATAGGTATAGACATCATTCAGACCACACTCATTCCTCCGTATCCATGGAGGGTCAGTTCCAGGACCCATTAAGCATACCAAAATCTGAAGATGCTCAAGTCCTGCTGTTGGCCCTGCAAAACCCGAGTGTATGAAAAGTTGTCTCTCCATATCCACGTGGATTCCACATCCCTCAAGTACTATTTTCCATCCACAATTGGTTGGAAAAAAAATCTGCATGCAAGTGGACCCACCCAGTTCAAACCTGTGTTGTTCAAAGATAAACTGTATATATGAAGGAAAAAAAGTTATTCATAGTGAAGGAATTAATGTTTAACAGTTGCTCTTGAATTCTGTTTTGATTTTGAAAGTAATTCCTAAAATGTGAACTTTTAAATTTATTTTTTAGCAGCTTTATTGATATGTAATTCACATACCACACAATTTACTGAGTTAGTCTGCAATTTATTGTTTTTTAATATATTAACAGATATGTGCAACCATTACCCACAGTCAATTTTAGGGATGTTCTTTTTTTTAACGAAAAATTTCAACATCTTAGAGGAGTTTGGCCTTTTGCTTTCAAAAAGTGACTTTAGTCTAAAATAGTTAAGGCATTAATATATGCTGAAGAATGATTAAAGCATCTGATGAAAAGTTACAAATGCTGTGAATGATTGTGAAAACCAAAAAAAGTGCTATCTTAAAGAATTTTTGAAATTAGAGATTTAAAGATTTAATATAAAGAACTGCTGGAAAAAAATTCTTTTTCTCTTTTCATGTAGCCAAAAGACCAGCTTCAGGACAAAGCTTGGTTTCTGTTGTGCCTGCTCAGAAAATTACTAAGCCTGCTGCTAAATATGGAATACCTTTAACATACAAGAAAAATGGAGATAAAAAATTACATGAAAAGAAACTACTCCAAAAACATAGACAGGTATAATGTTACAAACTGTGTATTAGTAACAAATTCAATTTGACCTTATTTTATTACTGCTCAATTCAGTTATCTTGATATTCATAGGATTGTTTTTAATTTACTGAGGAACATTGTTGTTCTCTTCTTCACCACTCTTCTAAAGCTAAGAAGACTTACAGAAGTCATAAAGAAACACTAAGTAGCGACTGGAAAGGGAGCTACCCCCTTGCCCATCATGCAGTGCACATTCGTGGGAAATCTGGTGCTCAACCATTCGTAGATGACCTGATTCTGGGTCAGAGTTTCCTTTGTTGCAGAGCAGCTTCTTCGCTGTGATCTGAGAGTCAGCCCTCAATGCAGGGGTTTGTAAAAAGCACAAAAGATTTTTAAAAAGTAAAAATAGAAAAAAATAACTAAGAGAAACGTTAAGTAGATATATTAAGTAAAGTAGTTTCTACAGTTAAAAGAAAGCGACGTTATAAATGAAATCACTTTCGAACAACCTGAGCAGAGTCACTTGTTTTTGTGTGCTAAGAGTATAAAGGTAACTGCTCTGAACCACTAGTCGGCAGAGCATGGAGAGTCAGTGGAGTAGAGAGAGCTTGAGCTCATGTCTGAGAATAAAGCATGTATGTGAAGCTCACATCTGAAGAATAAAGTATGTCTACCTTGCATAAAGCTGCCAGATATCTTCTTTCAATTACCTGACTCATGACCTGCATGGGAAGGAGTAGAAGGATATGAGATTCCAGCCCGACAACAAGTATTTAAATATCTTATATGTAAGGCAATAAAGAACATAAAAAGATGAATACAATCTTTGCCTTCATGTAACTTACCCAAGAGTTGTGTGTTTAAGTAATCATTCTCTTCTTTTTCACACTACTGTGTAATCTATTTGAAATCTGGTCATTTATAGCAAGCTGCAGTATTATGTTAATATTTTTAAATTGTTTTGTGTTGTGGTTCACAGTTTTTGACACTGGTGCTAGACTGGCTGCATAAAAGTTAACCTGTCAAATTTGTCAAAATGTTGACTGTAGGGCTATAGTCCAAAGATTTTGATTCAGCAACTCTTGGGGATATGTATTTTTTTAAAACAGCTATACTGAGATATAATTCACGTACTATACAATTCACCCATTAAAAGTTTGCAATTAGGTGGTTTTTAGTGTATTCACAGAGCTGCGTAGTGACCTCCACAATTAATTTTAGAACATTTTCATTACCAGAAAAAGCAATCCTTTTCCCATTAGCAGTCACTCCCCATTTTCCCCATTCTCCTCTCACTCTCACAGCTCTAAGCAACTGCTAATCTACTTTCTGTCTCTATATAAATTTGCTTATTCTGTACATTTCATATGAATGGAATCATACAATATGTGGTCTTTAGTGACTGGCTTTTTTTCTCAGCAAATGTTGTCAAGGTTGACCCATGTTGTATCATGTGTCAGTACTTCATTTCCTTTTTATTGTCAAATAATATTTCCTTATTGGAAGGAATATGTATTTTTACAAAGCTCCTGGGTAATATTTCCCACTAGTTTAAATTCTGTATACATAGAACATACCTTGAAATGTTAACTGTGTGTTTGTAATACTATGGAGAGCATTATCTACAATTTTTATTTCTTGACCCCAGAGCACTCTCATAACTATTTTAAAACTGGTGGTTGTTATCCATTAGTGGTGGCAAAATCATGTTGGTGGGTGAAACACAGGGACATTTTTTTTTTTAAAGAAATATAATTGAAAGTAGAAAAGTACATAATACACAAAAGATATTTTGTGGAACTTAGGAGTGTGTGTGTGTATGTGTGTATGTATCTTCACTGGGTCCAGATGAGAAATACTTTTCGTACTGTGGGTTGCTTTTACAAAAACTTTGAAAGCTACTATTTTTTAAGTATTTCAATATTATCTTCATCTCATCAATTCTAGTGTCTTTTCTGGATTTATGTGGTAAGATACATGGTTAGGTTATGTGAGAGCTGAGTTGAAATAACTAGCCAAAGTTAGAGGTTAGGAGTTAGGAATTAATAATACAATGAGGCGGTAGAATGGATATTGGAACCCACTGCCCTGGGTCATTTTGTCAAGGAATAAACTCACTATTTAGTTAATCATGAGAATGGAATCAGGTGTGATATTTAGGACCATTTATCACATTGTCAGTATAGCCCTGAGTTAAAACATAGTGTATCAATAAAATTGATTGATTGATGATGGTCATTTAATTAAAATGCCAAAGCACATGGTAAGAGAATCATTTTTCTCATTTTATTTTATTTTATTATTTTTTAGAATTTTTATTTTTTTATTTTTTGTTGTTGGATAGTTTATTATTTATTTTTTTGAATATTAACTTATCAATATACAGTGTAGTTGATTTCCATGTTCCTTTACCAATTCATCCTTTCCCTCCCTATCCCATTTTTCTCATTTTATGTTTGTCAACCCACTGGATGGTGTTACATATTCTAAATATCAGCATTTTATTGGGCTCATATTAAATGATGTATTCATTAAAGTAAAAGAGTTGCATTTCACAAGAAGGAAATGTACAGTTTAGGTTGTATATCATGTTGTTTTCTAAAGTAAGCAGAAACTTTAAATTTCTTTTTGAATTCTTTCTCAGTAAAAGTAAACTTTTGCGTGCCTTTCTAGTTCTTTTTTATACATTGTGAGCAATATAATTTAACAATATGATTCTGAAAAAATCTTATTAATTTCTTACTGATTGAGGATCATGTTTATTTTGTAATTTCTGAATTTGCTTTTTATGTTTACAATTTTAGTGCTTATCTGTTATGGTCATTTTACAAAATTTAGAAAATTGAAGTAATGAGTGGTATATAAAACTAATTTCATAACATCAACTTTTGCTAAAATACAACTACTGTTGAAATGGAATTGTTAGTGGAGACAACTTTTAATGATTTAGTCAAACTGAATTATTTTAATAATGTAAATGACTATCAAAGTATTTTTTTTTTTTTTTTTTTTTTTTTTTTTTCCGT